TATTTATAACATTCTCCTTTTAATTTCAGCCGTCCATCACAATTTAATCTGAACCGTCCAATCGCGATTAAAATAGAAATAAATCTGGACCATTCGTGCGTGATTCAATCTGGGTCGTCCGTGCGCTTGAAATTTGTGCCGTCCGCACGCGTGAGATCTGGACCGTTCGATTGCGTGCACGCAGATTGCCCACGTGGCTCCATCCCGTGTGGCCTCCCGCGTCAACTTCCTTGCCACGCAGTGTGTTTTGGTTGGCCAGAGCTGCTGACTGGGCTGCTGACGTGGCTACTGACGTGACACAACTTTCCTAAATTGTATTTTGACCCCCCCGGTTTCCGATTTTTTTTTTCAAGAACACCTCCAGAACCTAAATTTTCACCCCTTTTTTCCAAAATCAATTTCAATTAAATCCAAAATTTAGCTCCCAGGTAGCCTCCCTTGGCATGTGGTTATGCCACACCAACTTGACAAATGATATTTTCCAGTTGCGGAGTATCCTGCTCTTTCGGTCCGTGGTACCGACTGGTATTTCTTCATAAGATAATTTCTCTTAAAGTGGAAGCGGTTCATGAGCCGAGACATGAGAGGGGTCCGGATTGTACTTACGTAGCATGGATACGTAGAACACATTGTGGACCTTGGAGAGCTCTGGAGGCAATGCTAGTCTGTAGGCAGCAGTACCAATCCTGTCTAAGATTTTAAAAGATCCAATAAATGGGGGGTTTAATTTTTTCCTCCTGCCGAACCTACTAATTCTCTTGAAATGAGTGATCTTAAGGAATACCCGGTCGCCTTTCTCAAACGCTAGATCTCTCCTTCAGGTGTCCGCATAACTCTTTTGTCTGCTCTGAGCCGTCTGAATGTTCTTTCTGATTTTAACTATTTTAGGCGTGGTCTCCTCTACCAATTCCGGCCCAAACAATCTTCTATCGCCCACTTCTTTCCAACAAATCGGTGATCTGCACGGGCGCCCATATAAGGCCTCATATGGAGCTATGTCGATGCTTGCTTGGTAGCTGTTGTTGTAGGCAAAATCTATCAGGGGTAGATAGTTATCCCAATGTCCCCCAGAGTCAAGGACACATGCTCAGAGCATATTCTCAAGTGTATGAATTGTCCTTTCTGATTGTCCATCAGTCTAAGGATAGAAGGCAGTACTGAGAGACAGTTTTGTTCCCATGGCTTGCTGAAAGCTACTCCAAAACCGAGAAGTGAACCTGGGGTCCCTGTCGGATACCACTGTTACTGGAACTCCGTGCAATCTGACTATTTTCCAGATATACAATCTTGCCAACTTGTTCAAGGGGTCGGTCATTCTGATGGCCAAAAAGTGGGAAGATTTGGTAAGCTGGTCAACGATTACCCAGATTACGTCATGTCCTGAATGTGCCTTGGGTAATCCCGTTACGAAGTCCATTGTGATGTGTTCTCACTTCCACTCTGGAATCGGTAACGGCTGAAGTAGCCCATCTGGGCGCTGATGCTCTGCCTTGACCTGCTGACATACCAAGCACTTGGATACAAAGTCGGATATGTCTCTCTTCATCCCATTCCACTAAAACCGGGGTCGTATGCCTTGGTACATTTTGGTGCTTCCTAGATGCATGGCAAACTTCGAGTTATGGGACTCTGTCATGATGTCTCTCTTTAACTCACTGTCATCTGGGACACACACCCTGTCTTGGAAATGGAGTAATCCTTAGGCAGAGATTCGGAATTTTGAGCTCACTCCTTGTTCTGCATCCTTCTTGCGGGCTACCAGGGCGAGACTTACCGGCAGCGGTGCTCTCGGGTGCGGCGGCTCCTCCAGTGTGAGTCCGTTTTGATGTTCGGCTCTGATAAACTTGTAGAGAAAAGAACGGTGATCACAGTTGTATAAAATTTGCATCGAACGGAGGCCGGGAAGGGCCTCATCAGAGGCAAAAACAGATGGGAGTTGCGGCGACGGCGCCGGACTTCGGCAGGATTTTTCGGCCGATTGGCCGGTGGTTTGACTTCGGTTTGGCCATAGGCAGATTCAGCATCGAAAAACAAGCTAGGAGGAGAAAATTTACTTCGATTGGCGGCCGAAAACTTCTTCGATGCGGCGGCGGGTGGCGGCGGCAGGCTCCTTCGGCATCTGGTTCTTCTTCTCCGGCGAGGCATTGGCGGCTAGGGTTTTGTGGTCAGGTGTGGGTGGGGTTATTTATACCTTTTGCCTTTTAATCTCAACCATCCATCAAAATTAAATATGGACCGTCCGATCGCGATTTAATTGTGATTAAATATGGACCGTCCATCGCAATGCGATCTGGGTCGTCCGTGCGCCCGGGAACGGATCTGGACCGTCTGATCGCGCGCACGTGGATCACCCACGTGGCTCGTCCCGTGTCAGCGTTTCCTTACCACGCAGTGTGTCCTGGTTGGCCGGGGCTGCTGACGTGGCACAACTTTTCTAAATTGTGTTTTAACCCCCCCAGTTTTCGATTTTCTTTTCAAAAACACTACCAGAATCCAAATTTTCACCACTTTTTCTCAAAATCAATTTCAATTAAATTTAAATAATATTTTAACCCAATTTTATCATTATTATTATTTTTATTTTCATTAAATTAAATTAAAATCTTATAAATTAAATATATAAAAAAATTAAACTAAAAATTTAAATACAAAAATAAAAATAAAAATAATATTTGGGTGTTACATCGTTTGACTTAAAAAAAATTACAATTAAACACTATCATAGTTTTTATATCAAATCTAAATTTAATAGATTAGTTAAATAAATTATGTGATTTTTTTTTTTTGTACATATACAATTTTCAATTTAATTAACCAGCACAAATTGGCATTTTAATAAAAAAAAAAAATGAAAGTTAATTTAGAGGTTAGAGCCAATAACATACATATATAGTGTTTCTAACGACAATTAAAACATGGTTAAATTATTCTTCAAAACGGAGTGGAAGGGAAGAGGAGATTCTCGAACAAAAAAAATAGTTTAATAATAACTCTGAAAGAATTGAACGAGTATCTCTATATGAAGTGGAAACCTTATCTCCGGTAAAAGAAAAATATTTAATTTTTACGGAAAATATTATTTATTCTTTTATGAAAAAATAGAAATAGAATTTAGAAAAATAATTTGGAAAATTGCGCCTCTTTCTTTTGAAAAAAAGAAGACCAGAAGGCCCGATCCAACTATTGTCTTCTTAGAAAAGCCCGGCCTAATTATTTGTCGTCCAAAAAGAACCAGGCGGAGAAATGTAATGCCCAGGTCGAAACCCCCATACAATGGGTTTTTATTCAACTGCTGCAATAAATTTGAATTTGATGCGTTGAAAGACTGTCAAACAGAAGACGAGAAAAAATCCTTGCAGAAATGGCGGCACTTTCTTCTTCCTTGACGAAGATGAAGTCGCTCACAAAATCACTCCGTCTCGCTGCCAGAACCAGTTACACTTCTATTACCTTCAAGGAATCCTTGGTTCTGTCGCACAGTGATCCTCATCGTTCATTCTCTTCCAAGAGCAAGCCCTCCTCTTCTTCTGCTTCCTCCACCGATTCATTCAGGGATCCAGAAGCAGACGAATTCGTTCCGAACTCCGGGATAAGCAGGCCTCTCTCTGAGATACTGAAGGAACTCAACAAGAAGGTCCCCGATTCCGTCATCAGGCACCGAGTGGAAGATGGCTTCTCTATCAAATACATCCCCTGGTCTGTCTTCTCTTTCTGCTTCGTTATTATGTTATTTATGCATCTGTAAAACTTCCTAATTGTTAAGAAGAACATTATTCGTATCTCTACTCCTGCAACTAGTATTGAATAATGGCTCTCCGGTAAAAATATCTAGCTAATTTCTTAAGGTTGCCTTTTGACACCGTGTATTTTTCTGCTTAGCGTGTATGGAGGTTAAAGCAGTGGACTGTATTTTTTCTAGGTTTGTTTTGTAAACGAATTGGAGAGTTTTAGTTTAGACAGTCTAAATTCTTAAGAGAAACGAAACTTTGCCCTGAAAATCATTATGTTTTTGTCGAAGCGTTTTCATTGAGAGTCTTGTATCGCTTACGTTTGTTTCTTCAAGGTCCCAGTTAGAGAACTTATATGAGCAAAATGCGAAGTTAATATGTTATTATTAGACTCTTTTTCGATCAAATGAATTTCCCAGAAAAAAAGTATAGCATTCATTTGTAAATGCGTGTTTCTGGTCATATTATAAAAATAAAAGTTGTGGATTCTGAGATGAATTCAAACGCTTCTTTTTTGAAATTCATTTGTTTTAACGCAGTGTTAGTTTGTATTTTTGGTATGGGTCTTGAAATTTGTCTGGGACTTGGGATATCTTCTATGATAAATAATTTCCTGAGCCATTAATAGGGAATGCTGGTGATCGTGACTAGAAAATCAAAAGATGAAGTGGATCATATGCTACATTTTCTTTGAGGAACATATGTTACATAAGTTATTTACTAGCCCTTATTTTCTATTTTTCTAACACTACTCTAGCACTTAAGACCCTTTGACATAGCACTGAGAATAAGAGGACGTAAAACATGTGGTGCCGATAAGATTTCATTAGCTTATTGTAGTATACGGAGAATTCTGGAGTTATGTCCAACTAGAAGCACAATCTATAAGGAATTGTATATATACCATACAATGACTGGGAGCAATGGGAGAACCTAGTGTTCTTGCTCCTCTTGTGTGACAATAACACCTTGTGCATAGGTGGCACACCTGAATTGAGGAGACATTTGGCACGGTTTAGATGAATGCTCTCTGATATTAATAGCAAGCTTATGCTAATCATCATTGATTGTGCCAGTTCAAATTGTATACATCTGACCAGCGTGTTTCCTCTATCTTCTATTGTATAACATCAATTAAAACTTCTTCTAAATTCATGCTAGAGTGTCTTTTGCTAATTTAGCTCTCATCTTAATCTTTCCAGAGCATAAGGGTTGCTTTCATGTTACTAATCACGAGTTCTTATACTTCACAGGCACATTGTCAATCGGATTATGAACCTGCACGCTACTGGTATGCTAAAGATACATGAATTTTTCCTCTTAACAGGATTGTTATTTTGGCCGAAGCACTTGGTGCTTTGAGTTGTTAGATTTTGAATTTTCTATATTCCACCAATTGCAGAATGGTCTGGTGAAGTTAGAAACATTGTTTATTCTGCTGATGGAAAGTCTGTGTCTGTTATTTACCGTGTGACGCTCTATGGTACTGATGCTGAGGTATGTTTTTCACTTTATGCTTCTCAGCTTGTGTGTGGGTGTGAAAGATACACATCCATTTTATTATGGAATTGCTGGGATGGCACTCAGTCTTCACTGATGAGAAGTTTGATAGGCAAATTTGGACAGTTCCAATGTGACAAAGCAAATTGCCAAGATATTTTGTATACAATGTGTTATCTGTCCGAATGCTGGAAAAAACTCCGGTATTTAAGTCATACTCAGAAGGGGCTGCTACTGCCTATAAAATATTGGCAGGTGGATTCATATCCATGTCAGAGGATAGGCCCATGGAGTATCACTACCAATGTTGGTCTTTCCTTTCCTTCATCTTGCCCGGTTCACTAACATTTTCTTGGTGGGAATAAAATGTTTGGTTCACATCCTAAAAATGAAGTTTAGACTTCTCAAGTTGCAGTAATAATGACAGCAAGTAGAGCAACAAGTGAGATTGTTGGAATATGCATTCTAGTTGCTTAAGAAATGCAGAAACTGACTTATGAACCTGTGAAGTGAGCCCTTGTTTATCTGTTGCCTTATGAAAATGAGAGTTTGCTTTGACCTTGTTGGGAAATAAAAATAATAAAACTGAAACTGACCGGTGATGGGATTGACACTCTGGGTAGAAACTAAGAAATGCAAGATCCAGTAAAAATGATCCTGTGCAGAAGAAACATTCACTGTCTTATGTTACCAAATGATTGCAGCAGATTTTGCTTTAATACTGGCTTCTTACTGGAACTTTTAAGTTTAGATGGTAGAGATGATGACCATATATACTGGAGAAGGGAAAAAGAAGATAGGCGGCAACTTTCTTTTCAATTTTTTAAGTGAACGTGTTTATTATGATCTTATTAAGCTGTTTATATGAATTTTCTTATATAACATGGATGATTAATCCATTTGTCAATAGTTAACAAGTGTTAGCACTCACTATTGGGTACTACCAAGCCACGGGATGTCTTTTCCGTGAATGCTATCATGCAATGGATTAAAAAAAAGAAGCTAATTTCCAAGTTTCCAATATCTTCCAGGGCTAACATAATTGAATAAACCAGACAATTTTCCTGTTCACATTTTTTCTCTGTTTCTTTTCTCATCCATTTTTGGTGTTGGTTTTGTACCAAAGATACATAGGGAATCAACAGGCACAGCTTCAATTGATGAAGCTGGTTATGGCGATCCTGTACAAAAGGCAGAAGCAATGGCATTTCGTCGAGCTTGTGCACGCTTTGGGCTCGGTCTTCATCTTTACCACGAAGATATGTTATAGTAGCCAGAGAAAGGGACTTTGGTAACGCAAGTTCTTCTTACTGCTTGTGGTCATTGAGACTCGTACCTGTAATTTGACTCGAATGCTTATGGTAGAAGCACATGATATTGTCCTTAAAAAGTATTAACTGGTTGCCTGTAAATTATTGCCATAAAAGATTGCCTCGTTGTATTTTAAGCGAGCAGGTTCACTCAAGCTGTTTGCTGAATGTAGCATGTGCCATTTACAAGGCATCATTTTCCAGTTTTCCCTGTACCAGAGGTCAGAATGACAATCTTTGTGTTAGTCTGCTAGAAGCCTGGAGCTTAGACAAATGATGTATTTTAGAATTGCCTGGTGAAGTTTTCCATGAACTTTGATCACTTGTGGAATTATAATATCTGCTGATAACTTATCTAGTCTTTGACAATCTGATTTCAATTCTATTGAGTTATCAAATCTCCGAAATATTTTTGGATTAGTTTTCACATGTTAAATTCAAATGATTCTGGGTCTCGTTACGAAAAGAATTGTTACTGCTGTGTTTTAAAAGAATTGAATTATAAACTTAAAAGTTTCAAATGTCAAACTGGAAGTTAATAACAGCATTAACTCGTTGGAGTTAGAAGTTCTATACTATTTTAAACTGGATTAGAAGAATATTCATGGAACGAACATAATGGTGTACGCCACTCTCACCCATTTTGAAATAAAGTTTTTACCTTAAACATTCAATTCATAATTCTGCCTTCTCAATAATATTGTTTCCCCCTCCCCCTCCCTTGTACTCATTTTTTGAATTCTTTGAAAGAGAAAAAAATAAATAAATATCAGAGGAAAAGAGTGCTCTCTTGCTCCTTATCATGGAAAACCCAAGTGGAAAAATTAAGTGTTAACTTTTGAAACATGTACTCAATTATATATAATAGCTTGTTATATATATTTTTTTATAAAAAAATAAAAATAAAAAAGACCCCTTTAATTATAGTGACAGAATCAATAGGAGGATTTGTGTAGTGTTAAACAATGTCCTTGGGACAGAGAGTGATCATAGCTTGGGTGCTTCTTTTCATAAGATTTTATCAACCCATATTATTTGAGATATTATTAAATTTATAAATTTATAAAACTTACAAGCATTTACTAATCAAATTACTCCAGAGCCAATATATTTTCCTATTAAAATTTCATATATTTTATTTAATGAGGTAAAACATGTATATCAATAATAACATAATAATTTTTTTTTTTTTTGAAAGAAAAACACACGTAACAAGTATAATTTATGAGTTAAAATTCATACCCGCATATTAATGTTAAAAATATCCACTATTTAATTAAATAATTATATATATATATTATTTTTACATTTTACTTAATTGGAAAAAATTAAACATTAATAAAAATGTGTTAAAATTACTTTAGTTGAAAGTCAGGGTGGGGGCATATGACGGTAGAGGAAGAAGAAATGAGACGTTGAATCCCGAGAGGGCCCTCCATTTAACCGGCAGTAATTTCAATTTTCGAGGGGCAAAATGGGAAATTAGACTATTGCGTCTGAGAATGTATTAGCTGTGAATGGGACCCGCGGAAGAGAGGGAGAGAGAGAGGTGTGGATGATAAAAAGCCAGTGAGACATGCATGTGTAGGAGTGGGTCCCACGCTCTCTTTTTATTTTTTACCAGAACCCGAAAATCTTCCATAAACATACCAGTCTGTCACTTACAAAAGAGAAAGTGGGGGTGGGATTGGATGATGTCGCTTTCTGGTCAAACAAGTTGGAGACAGCTTGCGTCTTTGTTTTTCTTCACACGTATCTCACGTGCTCCTCTCCTCTCCTCTTCACCTTTTTTTTTTTTTTTTTAATTAATTAATTAATTATTATATAATTTTATTATACACATTTTAATGTAATTATTCTAATATTTTATTATTATGTAAATGATGAAATTATTTTTAACATACCATCATTGAAAATTCTAAATCCAACAAATAATATTTTTGAATTTACACTATCTCATATATTGCTTTTCCTGATAAAATAATAATTTTTTAAAATAATAAAAGAACATATTTTTTTTAATATCTTTTCAATAAATAATTCAGGTATTTCTTTACAAAATTGTATCAATTTTAATTTTTTCAATAATTTACTAATTATATGCACGTTATATATATACTGTTGGTAAAGTTTATATATTCTCAGCATTAATTTTTGAATTAAATTAAAAGTTTATTATTAACTAGTTCCTTTACCTGTCTTAAAATATTAATTAATAGTTTCAATTTTGTAATATCAATTTTATCATATATATATAACAAGAGCGTGATTTATTGTATTAATTCATCTTTAATTTACTGGTAATAGAAATGTAATTTATACTTTTTAATATTAAAATTAAATTGTCACATACTACTTAAATATATTTTCTAATATTAAAATTGAATTCGCACGTAATATCCTTTTTTCTGGGTTATTAATGGATTCTATAAATTTTCGAGACTTGGGTTCATCAGATAAAATTATTGAAACGTTTTACTTGAAGTATTAAATATATGTACCATTCCATTACTCTATCATTATTTTTTTGTTGTTATATATTTCTTTGTAACGTGTATAACTTCGAAGCAAAGATCGTCTACCCAATGGACATATATTTTTTATTATGAATTTATAAATTTATATTGTACAATTTTTTTATTATTTTAAATACATATAAATTCTTTTAAGAAATAAAAGTAGCCCAAACAAAAACTGTACAAGGGATATTGTCTTAGTTGTTACTAATTTTATGAACTTAGGTTTACACCAGAAAATCCAGAATAAAAATATGATGGAGATATATAGATTTAAATCCACCAACCTGATATAAGGTTTCAACAACCAAGTCGGATGCAACATGCAAAAATTAATTAACTTCTATGTATAACCGTAAATAATACCTTAATTTAATAATTAGTATATTTATTTTTTTTACTATGTTACATTTTCATACGTATTATTATTTCAAAATTGTATTATAATTAATATGTATATATATTATTTAATTTATGAATATATGTAGTTTTTTTTAAAAAAAATGAATTCTACCCTCGTGCTTCCATATTCAAATTAATTAACATTTAATACTAACCTCGATTACTATCATCGCATTCAAGAAATCTATAAATATATATTATGATACATCTATTATTATATATACATAAATAATTCATATATTAATCTAGATAATCTCAATTTTCCTGATTCCACCAATATATTATAATATATGTATATGATTATTGCGCGAATCTAGTTTATCTAATATATATATATATATGTATGTATATAGGTTAGGTTAAATTTTAACTTCAAAGTTTGAAAACTTATATTTGTACCAACAGCCAGCAGATTCTAACAACCTTTGTTATTTTGATTAGTTTTTTAAAACTCATCACTCAAGTATTTTCATTACTTTCTAAAACGTTGAAATCAATTTCCTAATGTTGAATTAAAATGCAATTTTCTACATTAAAATAAAATATTTTATTTTTACATAATCCTAAAAAAAATAATAATTAGAACCCTAAATTTAATATTATATTTTGAAAAATATTGGTCTTACCAAACAAAGGAAGACTTTTGCTTATATATATTATTATATTTTTCAGAATTAAAAAAATAGGAATGTTCTTAAATTTGTCGTGAAAGGAAACAATAAAAATTATTTTTTAACGTAAGAAACTTGAACAGTGTGAAACTGTCCATCTGTACGTGGGAGGAAAAACCGCCAGTGAGCCACCACCAGGGGGAGTAAATAGTTGACCGTTGACCGCCCCGTGGGAATTCGTCGCCAATTCCCTCCCGTTTTCATAATTTCCCCGTTCCGTTTCTGCCCACGGGAGACCACGTTTGTGTTAGTAAAGCTCCGATTGGTAAAGCTCGTAATTTTGAGAAATATCTCTGGGTAAAGACGTCAGTTCGCATCCACATTAAAATAATATAAAGTACGGCAATGACAGACATAATAATACTAATGAAATCGCTTCTTACTCTAGTCATAGCGCGTGCTGCCACATGCTCTAAATAATGCATCATCTCTTACTATTTCTTTTCCCCCCACTTTCAATTCTCAATTATGTGAATTATGATTTTTTTTGTTCTCATTCCTTGTCTTAGTCTTCACTCCAATTTTATTTTTATCTATTTTTCATATAAAATTTAGTAATTTTTTATAAAATTAATACATAATTAAATTAATTCCATTCATATCTTATAAATTTTTACCTTCATTTACTTTATTATATTTATACTTATATTATTTTAAATTATAAATTGAATAAAAATTAATATTAATAATTTCGCATTAAAAGTTATGAAGTAATTTATTACCATAATAATATATGCTAAATTCATAAAAATAAATAAGCGGCTAATATATTATTCGCATTTTTTAAAAAAGTAATTTTGATAATTAATGAATATATTAATCATAATGTTAAATGTATTAAGACATATACGTTTCATTAGTTATTAATATTTCGTTCTAATTGAATTGATATTTTATGAATATATCATCATAATATGTAATTATTTATTTATATAAGTTAATATCTATTTATTTTGTTTGTACATAATAAAGCTTATAGTAAATAAGAATGATGATATTTTGTTATTTTTTAATAATTTAATTGAAATATTTCATAGTACCAAAAATATATTGGGGCCCACTTTTTATTTATTGAAAAAAAATATTTATTAAATAAAATTTTATTATATTTACTTTATAATTCGTACATAATATTCAAACATTCATGCATTAGACAAAAATAATTTTCCCAAGTTTTTTACCCCTTTCATTTTTACCCAAATCATCTATATTTTTTTTTTTATGCGAGAGAGTGGAAACAGACTCAGGAGGGCGCGTGAATTGCTGATATCAAGAAGGAAAAAAGAAGTGGGGGCTGCTATGTATATAATTCATGTCCGTATTATGCGAGAGGGTCTTTCCTCCTTTTTTATTTTTTCCGCCTTCTTCTTCTCCTTCTTCTACCTTTTGCTTTCTCTTCCCTCCCAATTTCTCTCTCCTCCTCCTCCATCTTTCTTCTCCCCTGACCTAATTCTCTCAAAATTCACCTCTGAAAATCCTTTGAAGATCCTTCTGAGTTTACGGCAGTCTATCCTCCTCATCTATCCAGATCTCGTATTGCGCTAGTCTCATCTCTCTGTCACCATAAGGTTTTTGCTCAGTACCATTTTTTCCTTTTTTCTATCGCGGAGCAAAAGTTTTTTCAATCAGCAGACAGCAAGCTCAAGCCGATACCTCTTCAGGTACTGGAGAATTGTAGAAGAGAAAGGAAGAAGGAAGATGACTCCGGCTAATTTGGCGGGGCAGTTTGGTGATACAACATACACTAAGGTGTTTGTTGGTGGTTTGGCTTGGGAAACTCAGAAGGACACGATGAAGAAATACTTTGAGCAGTTCGGTGAGATCTTGGAAGCTGTTGTCATCACTGATAAGGCCACCGGTAGATCCAAGGGCTATGGATTCGTAAGCTACTCTCCTTATTTTCATTTCATTAATTTGCCTTTACTATATAGAAATATGTGTATACATATGCCATAGCGGCCATTTGATTTCAGAGATTTTAGTTGATGGAAGCGCATGAGATGAGATCTAACCAAAGGGCTTTATTCCGATTTTGATCAAGAATAAAAACCAGTATATACATGTGTATCTATATTTTTTTAATGAGAATATGTTATAATTTTTATTGCAGGTAACCTTTCGTGAGCCTGATGCCGCCATGAGAGCATGTGTTGATGCTTCTCCGGTGATAGATGGGAGAAGGGCTAACTGCAATCTTGCTTCTCTGGGTGTTCAAAGATCCAAACCTTCAACCCCAAAACACGGTATCATATTTGCATATTCAACTTTTTTTCTTTTGTTTTCCTGTTCATAGCTATATGTGTGTGTGTATATATATGATATATATACCAAAACTATAATTCAGATCTGGGAATTGTTTAATGAAATGTAGCTTTCATGTTTTTTACTCTTTGACACTGTTCAAAGATGCTTTCACATGTATCAGATAGTCCCATTATTAACATTATTCGTTTGAGCTGGCAAAAAGCTAGCTGATTACATACATGTAATTATGGATATTCCACAGTACTGATAGTTTCTGTTGGGTTGATGGTGTGGAAAGAAAAACAAGAGATATTCCTTTTTCGAAGCAAACAGACATTGATTAGGGCCACCTACAGCTTGAATATTCTTCCAAAAATGGGAAAAGAAGTTTTTGTGTATTCTTGCTTAATTTAGTTTTTATCTCCATTTAGAAAACATATATATAAATATTATACTTGCATAATATAGTTATTCCGTCTTTCAAATTATATACGTATATACTGTCTTTCAAATTATATGCATGTCTGTCTCTTGCTAGAGCTAGGTCCAGATATGTCGAGGGATTAATGCATTTCAAGTAAAATGTCATCAATCAAATTCAAATATATATAATTAGGTATAGTAACATAGCCCAATATGAGATGCCTTATGCTGCCACAACTTTTCGTTCTCCACCTGATCGACTTGGTGGGTATTTATATCCTTCCAAAATGGAAGAGTTGATATATATATATATATATATATGCTGATATTAATTTGTGGCACTAATTAGCTCTGTTTAATTAAGAGTTGAGTGTTGCCATAATGTAAAACGAAGCGTCAGCGTCCTGTAAATCAGTTCTAGGATTTCCATTATTTTGGGTTTCAGGATCATATTTTTCATGAATCTCCTAGATATGTTTTTTGACTAAACTGTGATGCATACAGTTTTTGCACACAAAAACTAGTTAAAAAAATCCTAAGATTATCATCGAAAAGAATATACAGGAAAATGTTACAGTAAACCCTGATCTCACAATTCTAAGCATAAAATAATTTTTTTTTAATATGATAGTCAAATATTTGTAAAGCTAACACTGACCTCGAGCTTAAAGTATGGCTATCCCAAGTATAATTATATGTAGATATGATTTATATGTAAATGGATGTTTCGTGTATATATATATATATACACATGTGTGTTATAAATGATGAAATGGGAATGCAGGAGGAGGAGGGAGGAATGTGAGGGTAATGGGGTCATTTCAGACAGGTTTTGGAGGAGTGGGAACGGCAACAGCTTTTGCTTCAGCAGCAACCTTCCCTCATTATGCCATCCAACAAGGCATTCCTTACAATCTTTATGGGTACCACTCTTTGCTCCTTTTCTTTTAATTACTCCATGCATTCACGTGCTTTGCCAACTCATGCACATCCACTCTCACCATCCGTCATTATACATCCATGGATAATTAATATTATTAAATTTTTAATACTACTCTTATATAAGCAAATTAATAAATTGTAAATAATTTTCATTAAATAATGATTACGCTAACATGCTACAATTATTAGTAGACAATCACGTTAATTTCGAGCTTGCAATACTAATTAGAAGCACTAATTTAAGTAATTATTTTGTTTTCACCATTGTCATGCATTTCGGTACCATTGTTTACATTCACTCTACATGATCATGAATTATCCTCTTAAGTACATCTCTAATTAACCTACCAAATGAAAATGTAAAGCAAAAAGTAATATCAAACTAACCACTTAATTGATATGGTGGCATGCACATTATTCGAACATGGATCTCATGCATGCATATCATGCAATGCATCTATGTATGCATATATCCATATGCATACCGAAGATTGGAATCCATTACTATCTTTGTTTTTTCTTGCATTAATGTCCAATATATAATTTTGTTGTTTTTGGAGGTTATTTTTTGTTGACAATTGATTTCTGCTGCTCGTTATAACCTAAAATTATGAAGACCATTTTTCAGGTATTCCCCATACTCGCCAGACTACAGTTCTTATGCAGCGGTGAGTACAGAATATTCCTATTTTAAAAGACTAAAAGTACTATTTTGTTTACTATTAACATTTTCCAACGCTAAATCATTAATATTGTTTTGTTTAAGGCCATAGTAGATAATAATATTGTTGGTCGTACTACAGTAGTACGTGCGATGCAACTTAGGAGACCACGCTTTTAACGACAAAATATAACCTTTTACCCATTCCAGTTTTTACTCTTTCCTTTTCGTCCTACTAAATTAGGCTAAAATATTAATTTAATTTTTTATTATTTATTTTTATTCAAATTCATCTTCATCTTGATTTTGCTTCAAAGTTGATTTTTATATTTTTAAAAACTTTTCAATTTAGTCTATTTTTATTATTAAATATTATAATTCTAATATCATGTGTCAAATTTGTCCACATGTAATACATTCTGATTCATTAAAAAATAAATTAAATATTACATTAAATGTTACTTATCATTTAATGTGATTTTAAAATTTATATATTATAAGAGGACTTATTTGTTCATAAAAATAATTATAAAAAAATTAATTTAGTCCAACCTAGCCCTAAATCTTTCTTTTTCCCCCTTGCTTCTTCCTCTTTGCATCATTATCATCGTCTTTATCTATCATCACTGTCAATTCCTCAACCGACTTCTACTTGTGGCATCACCGTCATTCCTTATCATTGTTGCTCTCACGCACCACCATCTAATCTCTTCATCACCTACAACACCGTGCCTCCCTTTCCCTCTATCTACTTGGTTATGTAATTTCTTGTGCTTCCAACCGCTGATTCCTTCTTTTATTTCTTCTTTGGTGTTGAAAACAAGTCATGATCATCATCTTCTGTGACCTCTGTCACCTATTCTTCATTTTCGCATTTGGAGATGTCGAAATCTTATTCTCTCATCTTCTATTTTTCACACAAACTTTAAAAATGTTTCTTCTGAGTCGATTCTACCATCTACTTAGATAAGAAAAAGGAAAATAACTGCCTAAACGATGTCATCTGAGGGAGACAATAGAAGTCATTGCTAAAATTGAAGTCGTAGAGTTGTGAAATAGAGAAGTTATGGATGGGGTGGTGTTAGTTTGCTTTGAAGAAGTGAGTTTGGGAGGTGACACGTAAACCCGTTCGAACCATTATCCATAAATTGGTTATTTTTTTTATTTATTACAAATTTTTTAATATCACATAAGATACTATGTTTCAACTTATTTTCTAATCAATCAAAACCCCCCCACGTGTCAAAAAATTTGACACGTGACATCTAAATTAACAATATTAATTGTTAACAAAGAAGAGAGATGAAATCCCAAAATTTTATAAGTATAGAAACCAAATTTAAGCAAAACTGAGATGAAGATGAGTTTGAACAAAAATAAGATAGTATATGAAGCAAATTAATATTTTAGCATATTAAATTTTATCCATTCTTATTTATTTTTTAAACCTATAAGGTAACAAGTTAGGAGAAAAATATTTTTTAATTTAAAATTTTATGTCTTTTTATATATTAAAGTACGTAAATTGATTGTATGATAACTATAAAAATAGTTGGTTTAAAAATTTTGATTTACTATTATTCTTTTATATATATATATACTTTCACATGTATTTTTACTATTATTTAGACAATATGATACTATTATGTATAAGCGAATATAGGTATTGAAAACAGAACTAAAAAGTATTTTGATATGATAAATAGAATTTGATTTTTCATTTTTTTTTTCTTCCCCTTCAGCGTCACAGTAATTTAAGCAAACAAAGTATTAACATTTTAATTGTTAGATGTTAACCTTCAAAAGTTATCATCTGATTATTAAAATATTAATATTATCATTCTATTTCTAACCAGAAAAAGCAGATTTACTTTTATTTTGGAGGCAACATTTTCAAAATCGTTTATAGTGATTGCTAATGAGTTGGTTTTTTATTCTTAATTTTCACGTTGACAGAAAGCATGTTAAATTTTATAACATAAACCTCGAGAAGGGGAGGGTCAGGTATAGTGGTTCTATTTCTGTCTGCCCTTCGTTTGACTGACTGACTTTCTTTGACTTGGTGGTCCAATTTCTCTCCTTTCCCTTTTCACATTCTCCTAAAAAAATATAATTCATACCAACATTATTTGGAAGTGAGTAATAAATACAATAAATGTTTTATAATGGATTTGTTTTAACTTTTATATTATATCTAAAATAGGTTATTTTTTAATTATTCTACAAAATAAATTAAATGTTCTATGATGGAACTGTGAATTGAAAATTTAATTTTTTAATATCAAATTAATATTTACTGTCATTTATAATATAATTTTAAGGAAAAAATTTAAAACTAAAAAACTAATATCATATAAACATAAAAATATTTATTTTTAAATAAATTGTATAAATATTGTATCTTATAATTAAATAAAAATAAGTTACACAGATATTTGATAAGATTTAGTTACAACAAGATTTAATTAAATTGTAAAAACTAAATCGAGTTTGTATGATTTAATGTTGATTCTTGTTATTTATTTTAAGTTTGCAATTCACTCAGAAAATAATTATCTTAATTATTGTATTGTGATTCAGTCATAAAAATCAAAACACAAAATTTCACTTGTAAATTGTAAACTATAAATGATAGTGTATGTACATGCTGAAACTGCAGGGCTACTACAGCGTGTACGGAGGAACAAGTGGGCAGTACCCAGTATACGGGACAGGACCAGCAGGGGGACTGATGACAGGGACAGCAACGGCAGCGTTTTATCCCTATCTGCAATTTGGTGCCGAAGGAAGCGGAGGAGGCGCCACCTATGCATCCGGCGGCCAGAGCTACGGCCACGGCCACGGCCACGGCGTGCAGTACCCACACCACCACCTGTTTCAGTACTCTCCTCTCAATTCAACCACTGCTGGAGGGACTTACTCCTCCCAACACTATGCCGCCCCCATCTCTCTCGCTCCTTCACCTGCCCTTCCCTCTGGTAATTTTACCCTTTTACCATTTTATTTTATTCTTGTATTCTCATCTCTCCTCACCATTAAGAAACCCATTCTGTTCAACAGATTATGTACATTATTGGAAAAGTCAAGAACCTGATAAACACTGAAGTGATAAATAAAATTTTCATACCAAGTAATAAATTAATAAATACACAACAAAAAAATATTACATCACATTGCAATAATACCATTATAGGAAATAATTTTTCTAGAGTCACTTATTAAGACAGGCAAATGAATACTTCTTTACAATTTACATTCACATCATTATGTTCCTAGAAAAAATCCATTATCATTTTGTTCTTTACACTTTATATTTGTCAATCAAATTATCATTGGTAGAAAATTAGTGATTAAGTTGATTAAATTATTTCACCTAGATGTGTAAATAATCTGATATTATTTAATTTCGATTTATTTTACCTAGCTATCTGATATTAATTATTAAACTGTTGACTTTTTAAAAATAATTTATGGAGCGTGGAAAGAGTTACTAACATCTTTGACAGTGTGTTTTGCTGTGCCACAGGCGTGACGGTGGCTCTTCATGCACCGCCAATTCCTCATCGCTAAAAGGGCAAGCTTTTCTCGGCTACTTCGCACTGCATGCTTCTTCTGCTGCTCCCCTCCGACCAAAAAAAACCAGTCAGTCGCTCTCAGAAAAACCTATGGCCTAACCATGGTTCCCTCTTTCTCTCTGTCATCTCTCAGTCAAAGCGCCCGAGTTCCGGGCATTTGCACACATACAAAAAGCCCCCCGTAGGGGCTACGAACTTTCCAATCTGAGGAATTGGAAAGCTCATCATGGCTGCATTGCATACCTTTTTACCTTTTGCATCTTTTTGAAAAGCAAAGTTGGTTCCTTTAAAGAGAACCATCATCATGAATCGCCATCATCGAGCTGGTTGGATCAGCTTTTTGTTGGCAAGTGTTTTTTTTCGGTCCCTGAAACTGGCCTCATTGGAAAAATGGCCAAGTTTCCTAACCCACCATCTTGTACACATTCTCTCTTTGCTCATCGCCATTGTTGGGCAAATTAACTTTTTTCTTTCTTAATTTAGATCAGCAGGAACTTTCAGAAAAAAAGGGGGGGTTGCAGAAAATGTAAATTCGACAACATAAATGGCAAACTCTCCATGTTTTTGTTTTGAAAAATGGCTAATCTCACCTCTAGATGAAGAGGGCATTTTAGCAAAAACTAAATAGGGCATGGGCTTGCCCCAAAAGTTTCTTTTTGTTTTTTCGTGTATTAATTAACATGTAGCACTCTTTTAGGAAGGTATATTTTTGATAATTTGAAAATTGGACCATATATATATAGATGTACTTGTCTGATGAAACAACCAAAACCATCTTCTTCTTCCCATGGGGTTAAGGGGAGAGATTGAAACCAGGTTTTTTTGGTTTACTAACTTGTAAATTTCATTGTGGCCGAACTTTGGGAAGTGTTGGCCTGAATTCTCAGCAGTCAAAATTTTAGCTAGGATCCTAGGAAGGTACTTAGTTTTTTTTTTTTTGTAAGAAGCATTTTGCAGAGCTCCATTAATGGGATGTGGAGCTGGTCAAAATCACATGCATTTTAACCTTGGGGAGATATTTGGGTTCCCTCTGGTTATTTTCTTCTTTGACCCACCAACCATGGTTAGGACTTTGGTAATTTCTCGTCTCTTTCCATCTCTTTCCCTCTCTTTCTATCCATTTTCCCTCTCTTTCTCTCTTCTCTCTCTGTTGTCTCAGTGTGAAGCTTCAGTTGGAGATGGAGGTTGATATATATACCGTTTATGATGATGATCATATTATGTATAAGCCTGGATTTGTAATGGTAGGATCGTTACTACTAGTACTTTAGACTACCAGAAAGTTCATTTTTCACATATCCATGCATATATATATACATATATGCTGGTTGGGGAAGTGAATCTATATGGTGCTACTTACTAGCTAAGGACGTACTTATATGCTCTCTTTTCATTAATTTCAGACCGTTATAATATGCTTACTTCTGCTAAAGCTTTGTCCATGGACGACAAAGCAAATATCTTCATATCATGTTCAAAATTTTGATGTGGTTAATTAATTCGCGCTCGTGATATCATCATACATATATGTACATTTGGCCAATGTTTTTTTATGTTGTCATTCTTGAGAAAAACTATAAGGTGTTCTACAAATGAGCCAGTGATTTAGAAAACTTTAGGATTGATTTGCTTTAAATTATATTTTTCTAGTTTTTTAATAAAAATTTGAAATTGACTTGGTTATACTTATGGATGCTTTATTGATTAATGACGACTGATAAACTAGAATATATGCGTACATATATGTATTATGTAGATTATTTATGTCATTTACACATGTTTTCATGTTTATATAATTTATATATGTTTGTATCAATCAACATATATATTTTCGTGTTTAATGTTTGTCTTTTATTATCTATATATATATATATATATATATATATATATATATATATAAGACCATTAAAGTTCACAAAATTCAATGTTCATCTTTATAAATTTTAAATTTAACATTTGTTTGGCATTTCTGCAATAAGGACAGTGGCTTTTATTTCAATAAATAAAGAAATGAAAAGTATAAAAAACTTTCGTTATAATTATTTACTTGTTTTTAACTTTATTGAAAGTAAAAAATAATTTTTATTAAAGAAATGATAAATTATTTACTTATTATTAAGTGAAAGATGATGAGAATGTTAATATTTCATTTTCTTTCTCCCTCCACTTTCCTTAATTCAAACATAATCGTAGTATTAGTGTCATCTCTTGCAAAATTACTCTCTCAAATATGAGTACGTAACCTGTTATCATGGTGCTTCCAGTTCATTCTTTATAATTTTTAAAGTTACATTTTTTCTCTTGTACAATTCTACAATACTCTGGCCGGACGGACTAATTGGTTTTTTTTTTCTGCCTCCTTATATTCAAAGAGAAAGACTTATATTTGTTATTATTGCATGGATCTCGTTATTGCACTTCAAATTAAAAGTTTTGGTCGTTCAAAATTCTAAAATGCCCGTTACAGATATTATGAAGTAAAATCTAGGATATGTAGGGCGTTTTATAAATTTGAAAGTAGTAGTTTTTTTAATAGCATTAAGTAAATCTCTTAATAGCATTTTACTGGAGGAGGCATTTATTACTTCGGTCGCACAATCTCCAAGCCATCTCGTAATGAAGGAACAAGTGGGCATTTGTTTCTCCACTTCTAAAGCACAAAACATATGCATCAGGATGGACTCATTTGGACCGCAAATTTTGAGCAAATTTTTCATATTTAGCTTTTGATGAATCCCAGTCCAAGCAACAATATATCCACATATTAATATATACAATGTATATGCATGTAGTAGTTTGTTATCTTTCCTATAAAACATTAATGGTTAAAATTTAAATCTCAGAATCAATACTTATTTTTATTAAATAATCAGTTTCTTGCCAAGTATGATTCTTTGAATTCAGCATTCATGATCGACTTTTTGCCTCACTGAGTACCATCTTTCAGGCTTCCATGCTCATTCAACTGCTACATACCATAAACTTTGCCGTCTTAAGCTAGTTTTGCTGAGAAAAATAGAATAGTAATACAAAATTACATAGAGTCTCGGTCACCGTTTATATGACTAACCAGTGTTCAGCCAGGCAGAGGTGCACATCAGAGGAAATTAACACCATCCAAATAGAGGTACACATCGAAGGAAATCAACACCAGCCAATCCAATCCTCTTTGACACCGATGACAATCATGGAATGTTATGAAAACAATCCCTCAGAACACTCTTGACCCAATCTAGGGTTTTGTGAATTTTATGATATGAATCAACTCAGAAAGTTCTGGAGTATTTCCTGATTTCATACATAATAGATGATATGGAGACAAGATCCTTGTTAAGTGCAGAGCCACCCACGACCTTCTTTATGCAATCCGATAATCTGGTATAGTAAAGCAGAAGCTGGGTCAGCGTAGCCCTCAAGATCTCCATACCACACAAGAAGTTACTGAAGGAAGTTATGACATCTTTATGCATTAGCTCTATTGCAGCTTTCCATCTGCTGGCAAAATCCTTCACAAGTGGCTCTACTTCAGCTACTGTTATTGGTCTCTCAGGATTCAAATTTAGATCCTCCGCTGCTCAAAATGTTTACTTAGTTGAAATCCATCTCCCTTAAATAACCTTTATATGACATGCAATGAGTGAGAGAACAAGCAGTACTTACAGGCTCGAGTCTTTACGAACTTGATCAAGTCACCAAAATGCTCCATCAGCAGCTCCTCCTACAGGGTAAAAAAGTGGACAAACTAAATAAAACTGCAAACAGAGATAATGAACATACTTGAAAATAGCTATCCCTACTTTCAACATCAGGTTAAAGAATCTAATTTGCCATCAGAAGTGAATACATTTACCCCTTCTTATATCTCCCCTTTCTTTATGTAACTAAACCCATCAACAGATGAACATAAACAAAAAGTAAAGCGAAAAATTATTTTTATTATGAACTAAAGCCTGTGAACATGTTCAAATGAAATAAGAAATGATGGCCATTGCTTAGTAGTTACCACAAACAATGTTGTGTTGCTCTTCAGCAAATCCTCGAAATGAAGTTGAATTTTCCCACCTTCTGGGCCAGCTTCCTGGAATTAAAATAACAATTGTAGTACATATGACCACATTTATATACATCAAATAAAGAGGAAAGAAGCTGCATGATTCTCAAAACACCAAAAAATTTTTCCCAAGTGAGAATTGCAGAAGATATTTCCCACAGAACTTGAAGGATTTGCACTCCCATAATAGATGCAGTTTAAAAGTAGAAATAAAGGCTGATCCTAACCTTAAGAACAGCGATTGTCATATCATAGTTATTTATAAGAAACACAATTTGTAGTTTCGGCTTTGGGAATATTTTTGCAAGCTTGAGAAGCAATTCATCAACAGCCATTCTGAGTCGTTCCATATTCAGTTCAAGCTGCAAAGACATAAGAAATTGTAACTAATTAACCAATATAACAAATAAACTAATTTTGATCTATCTTTCCAGATGAATCTAACCTGACCATCACCGTATTCAACATTGAGGTGAATAAGTGAAGCTGTAAATTCAGCATAACGCCTCATTACATAATGGGGATGCACATCATCTTCCCACAATGTCTTCACATTTGCATTGCGCAGACTGTTGAGGTGCATGTCGAACACCATCTTGAATCGAGGCCATAAAGAGATATTAACCTGCTCAATTTGATATGATGAGTACACAGAATGATAGTGTTTCTCATTGAAGTAAAAGGGGCCACTTGTGAAAGCAGAAGGAGTTCATGGTTATATAGTTCAAAGCAACGAAAGCCAACAGTTCTAATACAGTAATCACGAATTTAAAAGGTCTTAAACGTGATGGTACATGACTTATAGTCCCATGGATGCTGAGGAACATAACCAGGGGATATTATAGGTAAATAATATAGGATAGCAAACCCAGGATAGCTTCTTTTGAATACCACAATGCATCCATGTAGTTTATACTCTTTAACATAACAAAGTACTAAGAAATACATACCTTATCCAAATATGAATCCAGGCATGGAATTCGTCGTCGTGACATGATCAGCTGAGAGCATGATGAATGGTAGTAGAAGAAAAGAGATTAGAGGTCATCGTTATGAAACATAAAAATTCATATATAAGTGAATCTTTTGGAAGGCAGCAATGACATCTGGTCAGTTCGAAATAATGAGGGAAACAGCTGCACATGCAACGACCCAGAGAAATATGCTACCAAAAAGTTCCATGAAAACTTTATGAAACAACTAACCAAAAATTGGATTACCCAGACAAATAAATGAAGTAAGGGACAGCTAGAATGACAAGCACTCACTGAACACGGACAGAGAAGCCCCACCACTGAAGAACCAAAGCCAAGAGGGAGCCTAAAGGAAACAAATCCATTATGCTAGGGACCCCTGGGTCACCCTTGGAACATGCAAGAACTACCTCAAGTTGAACGAATGAAACCTGACCCAGCCCCTCTGGAATGATTAGATCCCTCGAGTAGGCAAGTCGAGAATTCATTGATCAATACACAGGCTTATCTGGAATTGTCCAGGGGAATAGCCCAGAAAAAGCAGCCAAAAGTCGTGAAGGGAGAATCTATGTGATGAGAATTATAAGAAGAAAGAGATTGAAGAAATAAATCACATGAAACCAAATAAATAATATAAAACTAAAGCACCAGTGTGTTCTTCCAGTATTACTGATTCGAGAACTCCCATAAATTAGTCACACAATTGAAAGTAACTATTGAAATTGCAGGTAACTAATTGCCCAACAGAAAAATTTATCATTCTCAATCAGCTACCTTCAGCATATTACAAGTTTCCTAGTAAAAGATTATATCCTTGGAAAAGCATCATATTCCTCATTTCTAAATCGGACACTAGAAGACAATTGAATGCATATTATGTCTGAAATGTCTACCAATTAAAGATATCAGTATAAGGCAACAAGAAAGGATCAAAGAAAATATGAAACCAAGAATTTTGTCTGCCACGCAGTTAGTGAAATGTAGAGTGAGAGACAAAAGATCACAGAGGAGTGGACAATAGATGGCTGGACTTGATCTAATATGAACCAAGAATTTTGTTCCCAATGCAGAGGATGGAAAAACAGATGGAAGATTAAAAAAAAATCCTCACTGGTGAAGCTACTTCAAGTAGACAGCAAAAGAACACATAAGAGTAGACAATAGAATGATCGCTGGAACCAATGTGGTTTAGTGGAATTAAAAATATGAAAAAGAGGAAAAAAATCCAATCCATGTTCACAGTGCTTGAAAACAGAATTGTATTTGAAGGCTGGATAGCACCCATTCACGGGAAAATGTGCATAATTAGTCCCAGCTTTCAAATTAATTCCTGGAAAAAGGAAAAATTT